TGCTACCCGGAATCGAACCCGGGACCTTTGAATGAGAGGCCAACACCTTAACCTCTAGGCCACGAGAGCCCCCCGTAGTTGTAGTTGTAGTTGTAGTTGTAGTAGTAGTTGTAGTAGTAGTTGTAGTAGTAGTAGTTGTAGTAGTAGTTGTAGTAGTAGTTGTTGTAGTAGTTGTTGTAGTAATAATATCATTATTCAGCGCTCTGTATTGAGACAGGGTATACCGTGCTCAAGGATACACCCCAGCGGTTACTCAAAGCTTAACGTTGGTGTCCGATTCTGACCGTGTATTTCCCAAAAAGGCCCGTCACTTTCTTTTAAGATGAAAAATGTAATTTGTTTCTTATTATCTTCCAGATTTAGTCAACATTGTTTATAGAGTGTTCATTCTACTTATCATATTATCATCACCAATTGTAACTGCTATTTTGAACATGATTTTTCGGAGAACCCGTTTTGTCCCAAAAAATTCATTTTTGAATTTTGTCGTAAATCCTTCAACTATAAACCCCGAAGCAACTAAACTGCAATTGCACTGAAGAAGCTGGTGTTCATTTGTTTTTAACCAAACAAGGATTTTTTTTTCGTGTCAAAAAGAAAAAAAAATCACTCAACCCTTTTTTCAACGTTAAATGCCCACTTTGAGTTAATAGAGGCAATAAATGTAACTTCCACAGAAGGAACAAATGATCTTTAAAATTATATTGTTTTATTTACCATGACGTCAAAAAAGGATAACATACAAGATACACTCTTCTACTTGATGTCACCTTCCAGGCCTAAAGTGACGCAACGCAACTTGAGAAACAAACTTGAACTCTACTTGTCAAAAAACAAGACAAGTTAAAAGAATAGTGCGGAAAAGTAAAAGGAGTAGATGACAACCGAAACAGCTTGCATGAACAGTGAACTTGAAAACGAAGCACATTTCTTCGCTTCTGCTAGATTCTATTTCTATTGCTTTTTGTGAGTAGTCTAATCACCGCTAGTTTAGAACTAGATCTTTTGGACTATTTTTCAGTTCTAAAATAGACCTGATTTGAATCTAGATTTAGCGCTAATCTTGTACATTATGTGTAGCTAGATTTGAATGTTGTTATATTTCAGTTTTAAATCAGTTTATTACCTGTTTGTTGCCAGCCACAATTGATTCATGTGACAATCTGCAGTTACTTATTTCTATTTTTGCATTTGGCACTCGTTGCTGTTACTGTTGTTTGGTCATTAGTTTAGATTTGTTAGTAGCCTCGGCGTAGTCATATCTTTTGTTGAAGTGTACTGCTCGACTGCAGATACATATCTAATTCCAGAGCTCACAAGTACCCATAAAACAGAGGAGCTTTGTTTAGGCTAAACCCCATTCCTGACACATGTACATTTTTAAAAGCTTAGGCGATATTAAACGTATCGATTGTAAAACCTTTATGCTTGAATTTTCTAAACAACCACAGATAAATGGGAACACTCACTCAGCAAAAGTCCGCCTTCACGTTGCTTTCATGAAAAGCAGTGGCGCAGATAAATCGAGCTCTATAAAGCCTATAAACTACTTTTTAAAGCCCTCGGGAGCTTTACTTTTTGCTACGTCCATTCTTAGCTTGAAAAGGAAGTAAGCCATAAAATATTCATACAACAGAACTGCGGTGCAAGCGTAGAACTGATGTTACCGTGATGTTTTCCTTAGTCATCTGTTCACAAAGTGTAGAATCTTTGATTATAATAAATTGCAAAAGTAGGATGAAAACGGGTAAAACCGTGACTGACGAAGTGAGACGAAAACTGGTAGACTTGTGCTGAAGAAAGTGGGACAAAAACGGGTAGTAAAACGAAGAAGTGGGACGAAAACGGGCATGAAATAAAGAAGTGGGACGAAAATGGTTGTAACGACGTATTTTTATGCAAATCGAGTGCCTGACCTAGTTTGACGGATACGCGGATAGAGTTGGACATCGTCGAAAAGGTATTGCCATAAATCGGGTGCACCAGGTAAAAAATATTTTTTAAACCAAAACAGTCTAAGCAAGTCATCTTATTTCCAAGGACAAATATTAGGGGAATAAGAAAGGCATCACCTGGCAAACATTTCTGTTCTCTGAGTACGTTTGAACGGAAGGCGAGGGAGATTTTAAAAAAGAAATGATGAAATAATAAAAGACCAGTCACGATGCAAATATGTCACCAAAAGTAAAGGAAGAAAGTGTATGTCTAGCCCCAAGATACACACGGGCCATAGACTGAACTGCTTACGCTTTGAATGCTCGGGGGCCCAGCGAAAACTTTTTTCCTTTGGAATAGCCACTTTTTCCAGCTCTTTTAGTTGCAAACAAGTGTCTTTTGAGCCTTAGTTTGCTAACTTTGCAGAAGACTTAAACACTTACGGGGTCCGTTTTAGCTGATACAAGTATTCGTTGGCGCAAATGTCCACTTTTGGCGGGGGCAGAGGGAAGGCAGGGGCTGGTAGTGGTTTTTGTTTT